TTAATGTAAAAATATGAATACGTGTAATAAATAACAATAGGAATAAGGGTCAAATAGGCCATCGAACTGCACACAATAATGCAATTAGGTCACTGAACCTAAAAAAACTATAATTAGATCCCTAAATTGACCATTTACTTACAATTTGTCTAATTTGTAAGTTTTCTAGGTTGTTAGCAGGTCACCATATATTTAAAATATTTTTTAAATATTTGTTATTTAAAATTAAAAAAATAGACCGCCTCCGGCCATGGAGACGAATCCATGGCTGGAGACGATCTGCATCTTTCTTTCTTCTTCTTCTTTTTTTTTTGTTAAATTTAAAATAATTATTTAAATAATAAATATTTTTAAAAATATTTTGTATTAAAGTGACCTGCTAACAACCTAGAAAACTTACAAAATAGATAAATTGCAAGAAAATTGTTAGTTTAGGGATCTAATTGTAGCTTTTTTAGGTTCGGTGGTCTAATTATATTATTGTGTGCAGTTCGATGACCTATTTGACCCTTATTCCATAACAATATAGTGAGTGGTGGTGGAGTAAATAGTAGGTAGAAAAGAGTGTGGGTGTGTTGCTAGAGTAAATTTGTGTGTGAACCCAACAGGGTAGCTCAAGTGGCAAATGAGCTCTCTTTGTGGGGAAGAATTCCGGGATGATCCGGGTTCAATTTCCACAAGTGACGATCCCCTAGAGCGAATTGAGTGGACCTGGACCGTGACGATCCCCTAGAGCGAATTGAGTGGACTTGGACCGTTAAATTGACAGAGAAAAACCCGGAAAGGATGATATTTTTGGGACAAAAAAAAAAAGGTATGCTTTTATATTTGGAAAAATTTTTGTAAAAAAAAATTTATTAAAAAAAAATCTATTAAACTGAAAATTCTCTAGTTTTATTTTTTATTTTCTAATTTACAAATTTGTTGATTTTAACCATAAAACTTTATTTTCCATTTTTTCAAAAAAAAAAAAATCCACCTACTACATGTTGGAAAAATAGCATTAAAATAGCTTTTTTGTGGTACAAATATATGTGAGGTCCACTTCCGATTGGGTCGGGTCAAAGTGGATTTGGATTTTTTTGTTGTGAGATGAAGGGATTAATATATTGTATGCTCAAAATGGATAATGAACGAATAAAAAATTGAATCTCAAAGTAACCCATTTGAGATTGAAAATAGATGTGGAAAGACTTGTAACAAGCACTTGTCCCACTTAAAAAAAAAAACAAGAAAATATGCACCACTATATATACAAGAGAGACATGTTGAATTGTATAGCATAGAGATTGTCGTCTCTTACATTTTGTGTTTGTTAAAATTCGTGGAAATAATCTTTTCCGGAGATTATATTCATAACACTACTCAAACCTCTTAAGCTCAACCTGTAAAACTACTCGTCCCATCTCGGTTAAAATCAAACCAAATTTCAATACAAATCGCAACAAGGAGGAGTAATTTAATTTGTAATGTTAGTTCCCCAATCTATTTATATCTCTAATCATATTAGAATAATTTTACACTTCTACTGCTACTTTAAAATGGAAACATTCTAAAACTGGAGGTTATGAAAGCGTTTTTTAACCTTTGTAGCATAGAACTGAATCAATAATGGCAAGCAGAGGGTTTAAATTAAATTTTGATTGGTAGGAAAGGTAGCTATCATCATTCCCGCAGGGTATTGAATAGGGTGGCGGTGTTTGGTGACTTGGTTGGTGGAAGGAATAAATGCTTCTGTTCTGTATTGAAACAGACACAACATTCAATACAATACAATACTCTATACCCTAAGGTGGCACATTTGTGAAAGGAAAAGGAGGGTTAGTGCAGACAAAATGGCTTCTTCTTTTGTTTGTAACCTCAAATATTTTGGTATTATTATCGTTATAAAACATTGAGGATGAGAGAGATTGAGATTCTTAGCAATGGGGGGTTTGGGACCAAAAGGAAGGGTGGGAAGGGCAAAAAAACAATAAGCAAAAGTCTAACCTTTATAACTTCGAGGGTGTGATTGAGTGGAAGAGATTCATCCATCTTTAATCAAAGATCAAAGGTTCGATCTTTGACTTTGAAAATGGAGCAGTCTTAAATCTCCAGGTTAGCTGTCCCACTTAAAAGAGGTACCTACAATTCAGTGAGGGGAAACTCTGGGTATACCCAAAAAAAAAAAAAAATCTAACCTTTATGATCAATTGACTCACCACGGTTTATCTCTCCACAAATTGTCGTGGACGGGGTGTGGGGCACCTGGAGTGGGTGATTCCACCTTTTGTCACAAAAATATAAACTTCTCACCAGAGGTGAAATTTGTCACAAAAGACCAATGATTGAGTCGTACCGGCTGCAGTATTGAAGAGCAACCTCTAAAAATGAGGAGGACTCCTTGTACGCAGTGAGTAAAAGTCTAGACTCTATTGATTAATTGAGTCATTATAATTATTTTATGCCACAATCTTGTCGGTTTAAGTGTGAGAATGTTGGGGTGCACGATTTTAGTACCTTTTTGTCACAAGAATACAAATTTCTCTCAATGTTATAAATTAATAAAATACTTTTTAATTTACACGGTCAATTCCCATTGCGGAGTATCACTTGTAAAGCAAATTTCTTTTACGATGGAGTTGAGTTACATTGTAAATCATGTTTACTATCCAAATTCTTTCTAGCAATTAAGAGGATGAAAGAATTTGAAGGAAGTTAAGATAGATGTAGTAGCATAAGCTACAACACAGTACTTGAGGTTGTTGAGCACACAAAGACAATATATGTTAGTGGTTTTTAGTACCACCTGAATTTCATGGGAGGAAATAAACGTGATGCTCATGTGAAATGGGTGATTAGCTTCACAATTAAAGGATGTAGCTTGAACGGTAAAATCATATATAATTAGGCAAAAATTTGTGTGTAACCGTCTCATATATATTTGTTCGTGAGACGGGTTAAGTCAAGATGAAATGTAATACTAATTAGGAATAAAATGTTTGTTACTTAGAGCAACATTATCAGTTGGGATATTAGGGGGAGAATGTAGGAGAGTTATTAGGAAAGAGAAGATGGGAGGGGAGAGAAAAAAGGGAAAAAAAAAAGGAAAATTGAATTTTAAAATAAAAAATAATAATACTTTAATTACTGTCAGACGCGCCTTAACCGTGCAGTGCACGCGCCCGCTGGGCGCAATGGTGACAGCCACACATGGCTGTCACAGATGGGCAAAATTAGAGATGGGTCCCATATTTCTGAATTCTCTCCACATTTGCAGATGCACCCCATTTTTCTCTTTCTTGCTTCTCTCTTCCACATGGCTTCATTTTCTGACATTATTCCCACATTATACAGTGATGGTGATGCTCTTATATGGATAAAAAAGTAATACTTTTAAAAGAAAATGTAATACTTTTGCATTTTGATGTAAAAGTATTATTTTTTTCATTAAAGGAAAATATAATACGAAAAAAATAATACTTTTACATCAAAATGTAAAAGTATTACATTTTCTTTCAAAAGTATTTCAGTTTTCTATTTAAGTAATAAACATTTTATTCTTAATTAGTTTTACATTTGTTAGTATAAGTATTAAATTTCATATTGACCCGATCCGATTTGACGGATCTCACGGATAAAAGATACGTGAGACGGTCTCACATAAATGTGACTCGATAGTAAAGGAAAGGAAGATGAGTGATTTTTAAAAAATTGATAGTCAAAACTACATAAAATGCACCTAGTCCTTGAAAATGAAAATTTAAGAGAAATTTTTCAGTTACTTTTTTCTAATATATAAAAAAAAAAGGTAGGATTCACGAAATGAAATTATCATAACAGTAATTTGCAATTTTGGATATAAATCAACATTTAATATTAATGCGATCAGGAATCAATATTTCATTCTCCGCAAAAAGTGAAATTTTCTCGTTCCAATCTCTACATTTAGGTGGTGTTTGATTGGATGTAATTGAATTATAATTCAATGAAGGCTTTAATTACAGTGTGGTTGGAGGGAATTGCAATTCCACCTAATTCCTTCCTTTTGTTGAATTGCAATTCATAGGGTAACCCCATAAATTATAATTCAATGCTTTTGGGAAAGGAAAAATGGTAAGAAATGACAAAAATATCATTGTTGATTGTTATTATTATTGTTACACAAAGACATTTTAGTCTTTATACCACTTTTTTTTTTTCTCATCCCCAATAATTCTATTATTCCCTACCAAACAATGTAATTTGAATTCTTATATTATTCCTACCTTATTCTTTTCCCACCGAATTACAATTCATTTCCTTCCTTCCAACCAAACACCCGTCAAACTTGAAAAGTAAATAGGTAAATTGCGGTGATTCAAGAATCTTTAGATAGAAAGACTAATCTATCCCAAGAATGAATTGAGGTGTTGAAATCAACATTTTATTAATGTAAGTCTACGTTAAGCAAGATTTGGGGTAGACTCCTGTCTCCTGCAAGAACTCCTGCTAGATCAGAGGAGTATTAAATTGAGAAGCATGGTTTCCTTTCCAGCGTAAGCCAGGCAATTTCCCCATTTTTCTTTTCATCACTCTCTCTCTCTCTCTCTCTTTGCATGTCATTGCCACCCACCCAGCATAACACCACCTCTTCTTTCTCTTTCTAACCCCACTTTCTTCAACTCTTCAAATCCTTCTGGGAAAGAAAGAAGAAGGGATGGATTTAGGGTTCTTAAATCTTGAGTCTTTTCACAAACCCAGATGCACAAACCACTCAAATCTCCCTTGTTTCTTGTACCCTATGGCAAGATGTGAAGTAGGCCGATAAATGCACTTAAATTTCAACCCTTTTTCATCTATGATTATATAGTAATTTTATGAGTGGTGACAAATGTTCCTGTTTAGTCAAGGTCAAGATCTTGATTTAAAAAAAAAAAAAAAAGAATTGAGCTTTATTTGTTTCAAGAGCATTAGTGTATATGCAGAGGAGAACCAGAGATCATAAGGTTTCAAGATTCGATCCAGCAAATATAATGCTGGGGTGGTTTTGCTGGGAACATGAAAAGAATAGGTACATATGCTTACTGCCTTGTTCTTTTCTGGTGTTTTTGGTTGTCTGAGTTTCATCTTGTCTTTACAATTACTGAGAAAGAGATCTTGCTTCAATTCAAGGGTAACATTTCCACTGACCCATTTCAAAGTTTGAGTTCTTGGGACCCTAGTAAAAGTCCTTGCCAAGATTATAGTGGTGTGGCCTGCAATTCAGATGGAAAGGTAGAGAAGATTGTGTTGTATAATACTAGCCTGGAGGGAGAGCTTTCTCCTGCCTTATCAGGCTTGAAATCCTTGCGCACTCTTATGTTGTTCGGGAATCGATTCACAGGAAACATTCCCGGGGATTATGGTGGGATTGAATCTTTATGGAAGATTAATTTGAGCTCCAATGCCTTATCCGGGTCAATCCCAGAATCTCTTGGGGGTCTGCCAAATTTAAGGTTTCTTGATCTGTCTAGAAATGAGTACACTGGGGAGATTCCTCCAGCTTTGTTCAAGACTTGCACCAAAACGCGTTTCATCTCGCTCTCACACAATGGCCTTTCTGGTTCGATTCCCGAATCAATTGGGAACTGCCAGAGTTTAGAAGGGTTGGATTTTTCGTTTAACAATATCGGTGGCAATTTGCCTTCACAAATCTGTGATATCCCTGGAATGGTGTACTTGTCCTTGAGAAACAATGTACTAGAAGGAAGTGTTCAAGAACAGGTCTCGTCTTGTCAAAGATTAGAGCTTTTGGATCTCGGAAGCAATTTGTTTACTGGTATTGCCCCTTTTGAGGTCCTTTCGTCGGTAAACCTCACATATTTCAATATTTCTAATAACGAGTTTCAGGGAGAGATTCGGAATATTGAGACGTGTAATCAGAGATTAGAAGTTCTGGATGTTTCGAGGAATGATTTCTATGGGGAAATTCCTTCGGACATTGCGAAATGCAGTTCTCTAAAGTATTTGGACTTGGGGTATAATAAACTCAATGGAACTATACCAGTTGGGATTGCAGATCTGAAAAACCTCCGGCTTATTCGATTGGCAAATAATACTATTACGGGGATGATCCCGAACCAGTTAGGGAGCATTGAGTTGCTTGAAGTTCTCGATTTGCATAATCTCTTGTTAATCGGTGAAATCCCAGATCAGATTAGCAACTTCAAGTATCTTCTTGAGATGTGAGTCCATAAACCATCCCCAATTGCTCGTTTGTTTATTCCAAAAATATAGTTTTTAGTTGAACTTTGAATATAAATCTGAATTCTTGAATCTTGGTGCAGGGATATTTCAGGGAATCGGATACAAGGAGAGATACCACAGAAGCTTTACAACATGTCGAACCTCAAGATTCTCGACCTACATCATAACCAGATTGATGGGAGCATTCCGACGACAATAGGGAATTTGTCTAACTTGCATTATTTGGATTTATCAGAAAACCGGTTAGCTGGATCAATTCCAGTTAGTCTCGGGAGCTTGAAAAACCTAACTCATTTCAATGTTTCTTACAATCTTCTATCCGGGGAGATCCCTTCGAACGAGACCATCCAAAGCTTTGGAGCCTCAGCGTTCCTTAACAATAGCGGTCTCTGTGGGCCCCCACTCGATCCATGCTCCCCCGGTGGCACTGCTTCAGAAGGCGGGAACGGGAAGCCTAAGTTGAGCCCTTCTACAATCGTTGCTATTGTTGCTGCTGCTATAATTCTTGCGGGTGTCATTGTAATAACGATTATCAATATGAAGGCTCGTAAGCGGAGAAGAGTAGAGGAGACGATGATCGTCGAGAGCACTCCACTCGCTTCATCCGATTCGAATGTCATTATTGGAAAGCTCGTTCTTTTCAGCAAAACTTTGCCATCGAAGTACGAGGATTGGGAGGTTGGCACTAAGGCTTTGCTTGACAAGGAGTGTCTGATTGGCGGGGGATCAATTGGAACGGTTTATAAATCCAGCTTCGAAGGTGGGGTTTCCATTTCCGTTAAAAAGCTAGAGACCCTGGGAAGAATCAGAAACCAAGATGAATTTGAACAAGAAATCGGACGGTTAGGAAACCTCGAACATCCTAATCTTGTCCCTTTACAAGGCTACTACTGGTCTTCCAGTATGCAGTTAATACTATCCGAGTTTGTTCAAAACGGGAACCTGTACGAGAATCTACACGGGGTTAACTATCCCGGAACCAGCACGGGTGTGGGTAATCCCGAACTAAACTGGCCCCGAAGATTCAGGATTGCGTTGGGGACAGCCAGGGCGCTAGCCTTCCTTCACCACGACTGCAAGCCTCCTGTCCTCCATCTCAACGTGAAGTCCACGAATGTACTCCTGGACGAAAACTACGAGGCCAAATTGTCGGACTATGGTTTGGTAAAGCTACTCCCCCTTCTTGACAATTACGGGCTAACCAAATTCCACAATGCAGTTGGGTATGTTGCACCCGAGTTGGCTCAGAGTATGAGACTGAGCGACAAGTGTGACGTTTATAGTTTCGGAGTGATCCTGCTGGAGCTGGTCACCGGGAGGAAACCCGTGGAGAGCCCGGCAGCGAACGAGGTAGTGATTTTGTGTGAATATGTTAGGGGGTTGATAGAGAGGGGCGCGGCTTCAGACTGTTTTGATACGAGTTTGCGGGGGTTCGTAGAAAATGAGTTGATTCAAGTTATGAAATTAGGCTTGATTTGTACTTGTGAAATTCCTTTGAGAAGACCAAGCATGGCTGAGGTTGTTCAGGTGCTTGAGTCCATCAGAAATGGTTCAGAATCATAACAACATTGGAGGAGAGGATGTAGGTGTTCTTGGGTAGAAAGATTCTTTTGTATTCATTTTGGGATTATTTATCAACTCTTCTTTTTCAAGTTCCCAATTTAATAAGAGGAACATTTCTTTTACATATAACATAGTAGAAAAGTAGCATAAAAGTAGAGAGTAGCATATCCACTGCATTCTAGTGCCATGATGCAAAATTTCAACCTAGTGGGGGAATCAAAGCAACATTTTGGGCTAACTTCAGCCAGGTTAGCTAAGGATACAAATTTATAATCACAAGGTCATGAATGATACAAACTTATAATCACGAAGGTCACGAGTTTGAATCCCAACCTTCTTAGTTGAGCCGGTCAGCTATGGGCCCAGAGTTAGCTAAGGATACAGACTTATAGGCACAACGTTACAAGTTTGAATCTCAACCTTCTTGGTTTGAACCGATCAACTATGGACAACCTAGGCTGATTTATCTCTTTATGGTCCTTTGCCAGCTAGGGTCACAAGTTAGGATTTACTCCGTACACACCATCGGGTAACGATTGCGGGTTTCCCACATCACCCAAAAAAAAAAACAACATTTTAACAGTCATGAGTGACGAGAGAAACCCACAACCACTGCTACAAGGAGATAAATCAGCTTAAGTTATCAATAGCTAACTAACCAATAGGCCACTCCTGTAAAGAATTGAAACTTGGTGACCAACTTGGTTGGGTTGCCCCTCTACTTTCACTTTTGCTACTATATAACACTTAAGTACAACTCCAAAGGATAAGAGAAATAATTTCCTTGAGCTTATAGAAGTAAAAAACAAAAGAATGAGCTCACAATGAGTCTGCAGAAGAACATGGGAACTGGATTATATGATCTCCTTTACATATTTGCCTTTGCACAAACTAATTGACTACCTACAGTATTCAAAAACCCAGGTGAAGGTAAAATCCAGAAATTGCAAAATGGCAGGATTCACAAAGAGTCATCAAAGTGGGAAGAAACCGAATTCTTTTGCTTCAGCATCAGTTGATAATCCTCGATTGGAATCCTCGATTTGGACTTTCCACACCAAAGTATCTGCACAAATTTATTATCTTCCAATATAATGAATCAATATAAACTTTTCAAGTGCGAGACTTAAAAATTTCAGACACTTTTTGGATTCTTTCCATGACAACCGGAATATCCCTTTCGCTTATTGTTGTAAAACACAACCGGAACCACCCGGGTTCAACACAGTGACAGGAAGAGCCGGGAGTGACGTTTATCTTGGCTATATTTAGCAACTTGTCCCAGAGTTCAATTTCGCCTTTTTCCCCATACGAGCGAATTAAACCACTCATGTCAGCCCAGCAGTAGAGGCCGCCATTACTCTGCATGCACTCGATACCTAACTTCTTTAGCCCCGAGACAAATTCAGAATACATCCTTCTGAGCCTTTCTCGATGGTTCTTAATGAACACGCTAATGAATCTCGTATCTGATAGCATTGAGACAAGAATTCGTTGGGAAGGAACCGAAACGGATGAAAATCGGGTCAGTTTTCTAGCAGCAGCCAGAACACTTTCGTTGAAAGTATAGATGACTCCTACCCTAAATCCCGGGAGAGAGAGATCCTTTGACAGACCATAGACAATGTGAATCCTGTTCCTATGCAAATCATCCGATTCAATCATTTCTGCCATGCTGACAAACTCTTCGCTCCCGTGAGTTGATCCTGCTAATATTTCATTGGAAATAATATGAATATTCTTCTCCGCTGCGAAATCCAAAAGGCTATAAAGTGTCTCCCGACTGAACAGATTGCCTACGGGATTCGAAGGATTGGAGATTATAAGCCCACGAACTTTCAGACCTCGCTTTTTGGCCTGATTAAACGCTCTTTCTAGAGCAGTTACACTTAAACCGAAGTTGTCTGCACTGCGACAAGGAACGGGTATAATTTCAACTCCAGTTCGCCATTTCACATCCCAGTCAAGACTGCTTAACAAGTGTTTTCAAGTTTAGTTTTACGAAAGATAAACCGTGACTAAACGAGACAAGTGTTTTATACAAGAAACGGTACTCACTCGGGATAATATGGCGAAGGAACAAGAAACGCATTTCCATGATCAGCCAGGCAGAAGCTAAGAATCTCAATTGCGGGGGTAGCACCAGCCGTGAGAACTATCTGCGATGGACTGAAGGATACCGACTCCTCCATGACTTGAGACATGAATCCTGTCACAGCCTGAAGCACCACAAAAAATTAAAACTCGGGCAAAGATATATTGGTAAAATAGTTAGCTTATCAGCCAATTTTGGCTTATTTGACCACTATTAAGTGTTTGGTTAATTAGCTTTTTGTAACTCCGAAATGCTAAAATTCAAAAAGCTGCTCAAAACAACTTTTTCAATTAGCTTTTTGAGAAAATAAATTATATCAAACAGCTAATTTACCAAACACCTTTCTACAATCAGCTAATGTTATCAACTAGTTATACCATCTAATTAACCTAATAAGCTAACAGCTAACAGCCATTTACCAAACAGGAGGAATGAACCCTAACCATCCAAAAATTATACAAACAACTGCTGAAAACTGTTTCAACCCATGAAAGCAAAAACTTAGCACTTTCTGTGCTTCAATGACAATACACAATAGAGATTCATAGAGTAATTCAAGAATAGTTTGTATGGCTCATCAAGAATCAAGATTAATCCATTATTGGAAGAAGCCAAGAATCAGCCACACAGAAAACCTCACAAAAATCATGCTATTCAAGTTCATAACAATCTGCAAATTCTATAAAACCAGCACCCATATTAATCAATTCTATAAGCCATTCATTGAATGAAAAAAAGGAGAAACTTAAACCCCATAAAACAATGATTACACAACAACATGGAAAAGTAATAGTGGGCCAAAGAGTCATAATCTTTACCACTTTCAACTCTCTCAACCCATCAAAGGGCTGATAGGTAGCAATTCCTGTTATATTCATATCTGGCCCCATAATTGATTCTTTCACATTCTCAGCCAGCCATTCTTGAACCAAATCCAGAGACAACTAGAAAAGGGAAAAAGGGAACAAGTCATTAACTGCTAACAAGTTCTAGGAAACATAATAATTAATAATCACAACTTTTTTGAGGAATTTAAATGTAAATATAGAAAACACCCACTCTATTTTCAGCCAATCCCAGTTGAATTACGCCATTGGGGTTAGAAGATTCATCATAAGGGTCATCAGAAGCTCTTTGCAGCCCAACATAAGAGGGGCTATTATCGGTGTGTCTGGAAATGACGGAATTAGCCCTGGAGGACACCTGAGCTTGCCCTCCACTGGCTCTTGGAGAAAGCAATAAACGAGACTGAACCCTCTGCAACACGTGCCCGGAATTCACCTCCGGCGATTGGATCGACGACGACGAAGTCTCCGGCGGGGTGCTACTACTGCTATTGCTATTGCTGTTTGGGCCGCCCCCCCGGTTTCTCCTGAGGTAGAGCTGCAAGAAGTAGAAGAGAACGCAGGGTATAGCGGAGCCTAACACCAACCCACCGCGGCCTTGTACTACGCCTTGTAAGGGCACTATCACCCTCATCGCCGTCGTCGACCCTTCTCCCCTGCCGCCACCTCTGCCTCTGCCGCCGCCGCCACTGGTTCTTGAAGGAGAGGTGTCTCGGGAGCGTGTCATGGCCGTGACATGGTGGCACTGGCGGTGGTTTGAATGTGTGAAACCTCCCACTCAGTTGGATAGGGGCGTGAGCAGTGGTGGCGGAGGATTCAAAGGAAGGGGGAGTGAGTGAAGGCGAAGAAGTTGGAAATGGTGGCGGAGATTTTCTTTCTTTTTTTTTTCTTTTTTTTTTTTTTTGGTTATATTTTGTATTTTGTATATATTCTGGTTATAGATACCATACAAGATTACAAGTATTTGAATTTTTGTGAATCATAAAGTTGTTGGGATCTATTTTGCTTTCTCAAATTATGACAAAAATATGAATTTTTTGAAAAAATGCCACAAGTTTAGGAAAGTTGGTGTGACATTACATTCTTTTCAATTTTTGGTAGGAGAATGTTTAATTTTGGGAGTGACTCTTTTAAATTGGAGGTCATGAGTTTGATTCTCAATGAGACCAGTATTAACTCTTTGTGCTTTGATAGGTTGAGAAAATAGTTACTATATTGTAATAGAGTCAATAGTACTAAAAAAATGTTTAATTTTTACTTTCATTTTTATGTTTAACAAAACTTTTAAGTATATATTATAAATAACTCTCGTCTTGTAATGAGTATATGGAATAAGTCCTATAAAATAAGATGAAAAGAGTATGAATTAAGGAAAAAATTTAATATCTGATATGATTTTATGATGAATTGACTAATTTATGAGCAATAAAAATGATTTTAAAAAAGCACTTATTACATGCTTCGTTATTAGGTGGATTATTTAATACAAATCTGGTTTAAATACCATGTTTTATAATATGTTTGATCAATTATGTGTAATTAAATTATACATTTTGTAATAATAGTTAACATGTCATGTTATTTGATGCAATAGATGAAACAAAATTGCATAAAAAAAGGCTAACATATATACTTCCCTCCTAAATTTTCCATTTAAGGGGCCTTTGGTTCACGGAATGTTAGATTAACTTAGGGAATGTTAGATTGTTGGAAATGTTATATTACTGGAAATGTTAGATTCCTGTGTTTGGTTTAAAACTAAAGGGGGTGTATTCAATCATGACTTTCATAGAGTTTTAAAGACTTTTATGAACTTTAAAAGTTTGGAGGTATTTAATTCAAACTTTTAGAGTGTCTTTAAAAGTCAAGTGGTATTCAATCAAGATTTTTAAATAGTCTTTAAAAGTCGTATGGTATTCGATTAAGACTTTTAAAGAGTTTTTAAAAGTAATGTGGTATTCAAAAAGTTATGAACTTTTGTAGACTTTTTAATTTTAGGACTTTTGTAGACTTTTCCTTCTCAAATATAAATAGTTGAAATCCAACCATCAACCCCAAGATTTCAAAATTTTCTTTCTAACAACTTTGAATATTTTCTCTCTCTGTTTAAACTCTATTTTTTCTCCCTTTTAAACTTTATAAACCTATATAAATTTAATACAATTATTTTTTTCTTCATTATCCTATATTTTCATCATACCTAACCTCTACCAATTTTTCTCTCTCCTAAACTTTACAATCTTCCTCTAAAAATTAGAAATAATATTATTTTTACTTCATTATTGCTTGTTTATATTGATTTTTATTTTTCTATGAATTTTTTTATCCCTAACTTTCTCCAGTTCTCCCTAAATACATGAACAAAGTAAATTTTTCATCGTCAAATTTTAGTATATGTTTCATAATATTCATATAAATACTTATATATTTTGATTTTTATTCTTTTTATGTTTATATTCGTAATATATATTTTTCCTTTTTTTTTTTTAACAATAGGTTACTACGAATGACGAACTACTGTTTGTAACAACAATTTGGGGTTGAAAATAGTAGCACCTTGTTGTTGTTCGCAATCTCAAATTGCTATTGCAAATAATAGATCTTTGCGTGATGCCTAGCACTATATGAAGTATAATTTTATATATATATATATATATATATATATATATATATATATATATATATATATATATTAGTAATATTATATTTTTATTTTTTTATTTTATGCAACTTGTAATTATATTTTTAAATATTTTATTTGATCAATTCTTTTATTATAAATTTTATTGTTCAATATTGTTATGAATTTCTAATAAAATGATTTTTTTTTTGTTGATGTTTATTAATAATATATATAAGTAATTAGCATATAAGTCTCAGCATACTATGGATAAAAATAATAATGTTGAGAATGTTGATGTGAGTGAAAAACTATATAATAAGAATAACTTTATGATATATTATAAATGTTTTGTAAGAAAATTATAAATATGATAAGAATCAAAATCATTGAAAGTTTTTAAGGATGCATTCAATTTAGAATTTCAATGACTTTTGTAGACTTTTTAAAATAAAAAATTGATAAAAATTTATAAATGTTTTTTTATATAGACTTTGCCTTATAAAGTTTTAAAAAGTTTTGAACGACTCTATGAAAGTCAATCAAAGTTTATTAAAATCTATCATTTTAAAAGTCTTTAAAACTCTACAAAAGTCATGATTGAATACACCCCCCTAAGATATGTAAATATGATAACGGTAATAAGATAAATTGATTAAAACGTCCAAAGCCCAACATTAGTAATAAGACAAGGGAATGTGAGATTACCTAAGAAATTGAAGGATATCTCACATTCCCTTTCAATGACTAAAAACTTAATGCGGATGTTATCTGACATTCCCTAAGAAAGTTACATAACCTGAACCAAACATGAGAATCTTATATTACCAAACAAATATAACCTTTGTTATCTTATATTACAGATTATTTGATTGAGTTAATTCCAGCAATGGTCTTCCGACTATATTGATTTTCCAAAATTAGTCATTGACTTTTAATTTGGACACTTTAGGTCCCTTGCCTTTCAATTTCTTTCCAATTGAGGTCCTTTCGTCAGAATACAGTTAATTGAATTTTAAATGAAGGGGTAAACTCATCATTTCACCTGCCTATGTATTATTCTTAGTATTTCTCCATTGTATACGCGATATATATGAAGATAATCTTAGTCGAAACCCTAAAATGTTCCTCGTCGTTCCCCATTTGCTGACTACTCGTGTGTGCGTTCCTCTATTATTGAGATGTTTACAAGGTATAACAGCGAAATACGAAGGGAGAAATACGAAGAATAATACATAGGCAGGTGAAAGGACGAGTTTACCCCTTCATTTAAAGTCTAATGAACCGTATTATAACGAAAGGACCTCAATTGGAAAGAAATTGAAAGTCAAGGGACCTAAAATGTTCAAATTAAAAGTCAGGGACTACTTTTGGAAAATCACTATAGTCGGAGGACTATTGCTGGAATTAACTCGTATTTGATTATTACCCTTTTTTTTATTTGAAGTGAGAACGATTATTTCATGAGTAGTTAATGAATATAAATATTTTATTTTCACATTTAAAAAAAAAAAGTAAATTCAAGTGGTAAATAACATTTTTCTAGTCCTATCAATATTTGTTCAAAAATTCTAGCAACCTTGATTGCCGGGCTAGGTATAACATTTATAATGCAAAGTAAAATTATTTTGGATGAAAAAAAGACCAATCATTATGCTGTGGAAACGTGTCCATTTTGCAAGGTGGACACGATTCTATGTTCATAATTACTAAATTATATGTTCATAATTTGCCAAAAAAGACCAAAGTGTAACATACCCTCACACTTATTTACATTCTCACCGTCTTATTTTATTTATTTGGTTCGGTTAACGATGTTTGACTCAAGTTATTTATGGTATATAATTTAATTTTTTAATATTTAGTTTAGTATTAATTATATAATTTATATACTTAAAAATTACATTAAAAATAGTATTAAATACAAAAGAATTACAATTTAAAATTATAAAAAAATATTTAAAAAATAAGCAAAAAAAGTAGTTGTTTTAATCAGTAAATATTAAATAGAATAGATAAAATGTGACAGAAAAGGTGTATATATTGTTGGAAAAATTAGCTTAAAATGGTATAAAATGGCATATTAAGTGGCTATTTTGTGGTACAATTATCAGTGGGGTCCACTTCCGATTTGGGTCGGGTCAAAGTGGATTCGGATTCTTCGTAGTAAGACGAAGAGATTGATATATTGTACGCTCAAAACGGATAGTGGGTGAATGAGATATTGATTCTCAAAGTAGACCCATTTGAGTTGGGAAATGAAGGGAAAATAGTGGACTTTGTCCCACATTGGTTTGGAAACAAGATTTGCCCCCCTTGTATTCATGAGCTCCTTTGGAAAATAGAATTGTATAGCATAGAGGCTCTCTCGCGCGGGGGGCGAGGGGGGGGGGGGGGGTGCAAATCAAAATCCAACTAGAGGAGATCGAAAATGCTTGATTCAAGCCCGAGCTCGCGTGCGCGGGCACGAATGTTGTCTGGAAATTGGCTGGCCTTGCGGGCTAAGTTATGCCAAACTTCGGTATCATTTTCCAACTGGTATAGTCACTTGGTTCGGCCGGAACCGAACCGAGAGCACCTACTCTCGTGCTACAGAGGAGCAAGATAGGTTGTGGTGCACCGAGAGTACAACTCTCGTGCATCTGTGATCACGAGAGTAGTGCACTCTCGGGTTGCACCACAGCGCGCACGAGAGATGTACTCTCGTGTTACCTGGTCCGAGAGGTTGTGGTGCACCGAGAGCACAACTCTCGTGCATCTGTGACCACAAGAGTAGTGCACTCTCGGGTTGCACCACAGCGCGCACGAGAGATGTACTCTCGTGTTGCCTGGTCCGTGTGCTCTCGTGTGAACCTGCACCCCAACGGTGTGGTGCGCACGAGAGATGTACTCTCGTGTTGCCTGGTCCGTGTGCTCTCGTGTGAACCTGCACCCCAACGGTGTGGTGCGCACGAGAGATGTACTCTCGTGTTGCCTGGTCCGTGTGCTCTCGTGTGAACCTGCACCCCAACGGTCTGAAACCCGAAAGTTCAGCCTGTTGTACAGATTAAACTCATCTGTTACGGAATTAATACTGTTTTAATTCCAATTTTAAATTATGAGTTTAATCCTACTTAGTGGGTGACCGTTACAGGTGTTACACAATTGGTTTAATACCAATTAAAGGCCATGTTGAATGCTATCCCTTCCAACAGCCCTATATAAAGAGAGGTAGGGCAGAAGCATTTTATACAGTACAGAAAACGAAAGAAATTCCAGTAGCTTTCAGCTTCTCAAAACTCTGCTTCTACTCTCTTCTTTACCAACTTG